GTGTGTGTGTGTGTGTGTGTGCTACGAAAGCGATGAGGATTGGGACAATGACAAAAGCCTCGCAGACCTCAAGTCTTCTTATGATCCTATTGGTCTGACCCTGCATACACATAAATAATACAGTATCGGGCAGTACTAGTAGTACACGTGGCCAAAACCCGGTTTACCCAAGCCGATACCGAGTCACCGACCCCGGTCAGAGTTTGGAGGGTACTCCAGGAGCCTGAAGACCACCTAAGAGGAAACTGTCCAGTTCCTAGTGCCCCTCCCAGACCAGGTCTTATCACTACACTGCCGGAACTAGTTGCTCGGACCGGCAGGTCCGACAAGTCCTCCGACCGGCCTTTCCGAACAGTTCTCGGACATGGTGGGTCGATAAGAATTTGGACCCACCTATCCGAGCAGACGATGGACCGCTTGGTGACTGCTCGGACAAGCCCGTTCGACATCTGGCCGGTCTGAGGTTTTGTTGGACCTGCCGATGAGCAGTTATTCCGGTGTGGTCATTATTCCTGTGTATGAAGGGAGGAAAATTCAAAATTTTATTATTTATCAATGAAGGACTCACAATATGGACAAATGGACGTCAGAAATGGAATCTACGGCCAATTTAACCCCTAGTCACTCACTGGAACCACCTTCATATCTCTACTGGATCAGAAGTTACGCAGAATCAAGGATGTCACACAGGGAATCACAGGATCAGAGGCACTCAGCTGGGGGTATATTGCATGGGGGTATATTGCATATTGCATATTGAATTCCTTTTATCAATATTGAATTCCTTTGATACTTACAGAACCACAAGTTGGCCACCAGTTGTACCAGTTAAATTCCCATTTATTCAGCCACAGAACACATGAATTCCTTTCTTACAGCTTACATATAAAAGGAATGCGTTGTAGATAGTCTAGCCAAAATCCCTCAGGATTTTCAGAGACAGGGCAGCTAAAATGCCTCATACAGGGGGTTCGTTGGGGCTAAAATCCCTCATAAATTACTATATAAGGAGGCCTCTGCCTGCCAGTTGTTTCCCTCCTCATCCCACTCAGTACACATTTTTGGTGGGACACCTGTCACAGATATTTATTACACAAGAAGTTCACGAGTAGTACAGTTCACAGATTGAAATATATACACAGTTCATTTCACAAACATTACACAGAAGAGCCAGTCCTTTGTTCCAGTCCTGGTTGAAGCATAGTGCTCCCAGACCCTTTGGGTTCAAGAACCACCTCTATTACATTATACATATACAGCATCAAGGAAGAGCACGAGTATCAAGACATCAAGACGAGAAACAACATCAACAACTCAATCAATTCTTTGGACAACAAGATCAACCTTCAACAATTATACAACCATCTTTGAACATAATCCATTATCACCAACCAAACTGCCAAGCTTACCTTGGTGGTCTTGTTTTCTGATAATATAGAAAGGCAGAGTTTGCAGCTCATTTCATCCCTTTCTCCATTCAGCAAAAAGGATCTTACAATCACTTTTTGAGTCTTACAAGGGAGTCCCCAACGTGATAAGGATTACGGCATAATTGAAGAAGGATCAAATTCTAGACGAACAGCAAGAAGAAGAATCAACACGGATAGTCGACACTCTTGAAGGATTTTGCAAAGAACAAATTTGTCAACCACAACTGTCATCAAGTAAAGAAGAAATATCAAGTTAACCTGAAGATCGAATAGTCAAGTGATAGAACCTATTAACGAACGAAAACTACTAAACCTCTGAAAGAAGAAGAAGAAGATTTGTGACTCTAGTTCTGACAGACGTATCTCGAAGGAAGCAGCCAGTTATATCCCAGAAGAAGGAAGACCACCGAAGGATTTGGATAACTGGATCCTGTTTGAAGCGAACGTCGGAGCCCACTCGAAGGAAGCAGACGATTATATCCCAGAAGAAGGAAGACCACCGAAGAATCTGGATAATCGTATCCTGCTAGAAGAACACTCCCAGCTACTAGTATTGTTACTGAGAAAACCCCCAATTTGCCCTGGTAAAGAGACCAGAGACCATTTTTGAATTGAAAAACAGAGTTAAGTAGGATTAGTATCCAAACATAGTATTACATCACAACAACTAGGAAGTCAACAGGAACAACATGAGTTTACCATATACTGTGCCAGATTTGGAAGACGGATTTGCTCCAACAACACCTTTGGGAAATAGACCATTTGCGTCGGGATTGAATTCGAACTGGAATACAGGATTTACGGCACCACCACCACCAATGAAGAAGGATAAGGGAAAGATGCCAGCCAATCAATACAGAGAACCACAGGCTGAAGAAGAGATGTCAGACTCAGAGGATCCTACACCACAGAGACAAGCCAAGCAAACGGAACCTCCGGTGACTGGATATGGATTACATAATGCGAGAGGATCGGATGGTGAACCGGCGGAGAGAAGATATGGACCAAGGATTATCAAGGAACCGGGACTTGTTTACGACGGGACCAATTTCACACGATTTCTAGCGAGATACGAACGAGCGGCTTTGGCGTTTCAGGCATCGGACTACGAAAAGGCGTTACAGATTGGACGATTTGTACATAAGGAGGAATTGAAGTTGGAACTCGAGGCGATGGAAGGTTACGACAGCTTCAACTGGACGGAGTTAAGGAAGGCGATGAAGGAGAGTTGGGGGGAATTGGACAACACTATTCTGTATACTACAGCGGATTTGGTCAAAATTGTGGAAGAATACTCCAGAAAAGGAGGACTGAAGGATTACAAAGAGTACAAGGCTTACTTGGGAAAATTCACCACTATCTTGAAATACCTCGTGGATAATGAACATTTGAACAAGAAGCAGGATGCATCACTTCTGTTCATAAGTGCATTTTCTAAAGAAAGTCAGAAGAACATCAAGAGGACTTTAGTCAGTAACGGACAACTCCCAAAAGGACCAGACGGCAGTAGTAAACCCCCATTGTGGAAACATGTTACAGAAGCAGCGGATACAGAAATTAGGGTTGAAGAGGAAGGATACTTTGCGGTTTCAGGCTTCTCCGAGGCGAATAAGCGAATGCAACGGGAACTGGATCAGAAGAAAGGCAATGGTCAGCGACGAGAACAAATGATATCCGGAGCGCCAACTGGAAAGGTGGTTGAGAAACAAGTAGAAGACATAATGCAAGAAATGGCTTCACTCAAACAACAATTGAAGAGAGTATTACCTGTTTACAACCAACAAAGCAATCCAAAATCAGAATTCTCACGAGGGAACGCCAAACCTTCGACACCCATTTACGAGCCTATGATGTGTTTTTACTGCCACAGAGAAGGTCATACGACGTACAGATGTTCTGAATTGTTTAAGGATGAAGAGCAAGGGCTAGTGAAGAGAAACGGGAAAGACTGGTACCTACCAGATGGGCAACATATTCCATGGAACCCGTCAAGACCAATCCGAACCGTAGTTGCAACCGCCTCGGCAGATCCAAAGATGCAAGAACACACAAATAATGCAACCAAGACAGAACCAAAGCAAAATTCTGGAATCATGAAGTCATCAGCTCAAACTATAGATTGGGAACCACCAACATTAGGGGCTGAAAATTTTCTAGGAACTCACGCAATAACGAGGTCTGATGCACAGAAGGGAAGACGAAGTGTTCGAATCCAGGAGCCAACAAACGATGAACAGATGGATGTGGATCAAGAGGAAGAAGTGGCCGAGATTTCTCCGAATCCTCCAAAGAAGCCAGTCGAGAAGGTTTGGAGTAAAGATAGAGTCTCAGCTATGAAATCCAAGGATGCGAGCCCAGAGGAAATTTTGCTTCAGGAACTAGACAATGTCAAAATTCCGACCACTTTTGCTCAGCTTACGGCTATATCTCCAGCATACACATCCCAAATTATTTCGAAATTACAGAGCAGACTCCCGGAGAAAAGTTCCACAACTTACATAGCAACTGAAGCAGTCAAAATGTCGGCAATGGAGCTCAACAATGAAGATGAAGAAAGAGATCCCTGTTACTACAGTTGTGCTCTAGGCTACGTAACAGCAGAAATCGGCGGATCAAAAGTAGATTTCATGGTTGATTCCGGATCTATGGTCAATGTGATACCAAGTATAGTAGCCCAGGACTTAGAACTGGAAGTGGTCAAAGTCGATATACCTATGAAAGGAGTAGGAGGAGCAAGATGTGATTTGAACGGGGTAGCCAAAAACTGTCCAGTAACGATAGGAAGATTCTCGGGACCAGCTCACCTGTTTGTTTCACCGAAGGCGCAAGACTGTATCCTTGGACAACCATTTCTGTTTGACTACGAATGCACGCTAGAATATCA